TACGATGATTCCCAAACTAGGATGAAACAGCTGTCTAGTACTCCCTGATGTGGTTTCTAAAGCCTTAAAATATAGTAATAGATAATCCGAGACATATATGAGCATTTCTCTATATGATCCTAATCGATAGAAAACTGACGATTACCTCTTCAAAATGTTTACATTTCAAATGAAAGTTACTTATCTGTTATTACTCAGTAAGAGCAAATCTTAGCAGTAAGTTGTAGTCGCTATATGGGTGTGATTAATTCACCTCTTCTTTGCTGTCTTCCATCTATCCACCGAAAAACTACATCGAGTTGATTTTACCTGGATTTCAATCGTTTTTATTGGATTAACTATAAGCGGGCACTACTCAAAGCACTATTTGATAGGATGAATCTATATGCTGCAGTAACAAATTGGATAAGCTGCGGATCACGGGAAAATATCCACAAGAGAATGGATATCCACATAGATTTATCAACAGTTTGTAAAAGTGAAGGTAAAAGAATAAAAGAAAAAAAACAGTGAAGAAAGCCTGGATTCATTCACCTAAAATTCAAAGACGACATCGCTGCAAGAATGAACAACAGACAAATTAAGAAATCACTTGTTAGGTCATTTCTTGTGACTAGGTTGATTCCCGTGTGTCAGATAGGATGTTCGTTAGTTCAGTCATAAGCCCTCCCTTCGTTAGCTCCAGATGCGCATACTAGTTTACATGTAGCTTCTGAAGCAGATACATTGGAAGAATAGAAAGTATGGCCTTTCTCAAATTTTCAGAAGTGATAAGTTTTGGATTAAGAGGAACTAAATCTTTGAACAGAGCATTCATAAGTCGTCTAACTGACACAAGATATTAGGTAGACATCTTGAATTATTTCAGAATAATAAACAAATAATCAAGCTCATGCCTTTTGAAGTTCACAGGGCTATCGCTATCAAACGAACAAGACCTAACTTCTGTATTCATAAAGAAGCTGTGATCAGTATTTGCTTTACCTCAGTAACTCTTTTTTGTAATCTTAACTTATCACATCATCTTTTATTAACTGCAAATGTCCCCTGTTTACTACTCCTTAGTTAAATCATCATTTAGTAGATATCATTCTTCATATGTCTGATGTCTAACTGAGTTGGCTTAACTCAAAATTGTTTATTTTTTTAATTCACTTATGTATTAAAAATTTTCTAATTACTTAATTAATCTTATAATCTATGTACCTCAGTATCTTGTTGCTACCCTTGCTCCTCACTTTTTGTTTTATTCGAGAAACCTCGACCACACTACATGTATACAATACATGTGTACAACAATATTCTGCATGTTACTAAATTATCCCATCCACTTATCTTCAAACAGTGTCAATGCAAGTGAAGTGTAAATCAGCGGTATACCTCAGCAGTAGTTCTTTCAAATATACTGTTGATGTTCCAATGTTTAACTGGTTTTCATTCATATATTTGCATACATTCGTAAAAAATGTCGAGAGATAACATACTTCTGTTAGTGGCGTTTATATCTTGTATGTGATAGATGAACTTATGAGCGTCACGAAACGAGTATATGTGTATATGTTTCCTTACAGGTTCCAGAATATCAGTCAACTATTTTTCAAGTGAATAATTAGGGGAACCTGGTATATCAAGAATCAGAGGAAGTGAACGACCAACTTTATGCAGCTTTGGCAAACGACAGAGTCTTCGTGTTATTGAACCTGTTGGTCGGATATGATCATACATATTGTGGCTAATTAATTGATAGGCTTTTATTCTTTCCAAGATGTCTGTAAGCTGTTTTTCAATCAGTCTTGTTTTGTTTCCGAAGGCTGAGAAAATTAAATTTTTTCTGAGCGTATTGTGAATTTCTTCGAAAGAAATTCGGGAGGATAATCCAACTATTATTGAAATCACACGTTGAGTGACGCGTAAAATCCGAAAACACAGGATTCATCTAAAAGATGGTACAATATTAAACACAAAATATAATATACAAACCTCAAATGTGAGATATCTGTGTCTGAATGTTGTCAAAAAGCACAGTCAGTATGAGTAAATAAATAGAAACAGTAGGGCTGTGTCAAAGGCAATCCACGAGTTATTTAAACATCGCGCTAGTGCCAGACACGGAATAAAGGAATACGAATCCACAGTGTTCAACAGTAACTAGTACATAAGCAAAACATATTCAGCAAATACTGTTCGACTATAAGAATATAATTAATATACATAGAATAGATTAGTAATGCATGGAGTTAAACTTCGGTAGCAAATGAAGACATGGTAAATAATTAACAGATACATTTACACTACTTATTAAAGCTCAGTAGTATAAATTTAACACAAGAGGAGGAATTACAAGGGTCAGGTTGGAAAGGAATTAACAAGTATGTTCTTCATTTTGTCTACATTGTCTTATCCTTTCGAAAGAACTACACCAGCAATTTTGTCAGGATGAGTTAAAAGTAAAGCCCGATTATCCCTCAATTGTTTTGACTATTTTCGATGACACATTGTTTGGTAACAGTGAACTTCTGAGTTTGTAATTAATTTTTATTTTAATTTATTTTTCTATATTTTGGTTACAGCTTGATGCCACACTGTATTTTCAGTACAAGTATGGCATTTTCAGCGTGGATATCGGTAGCCCAAATTTCGCAGGCCGATCATAGATATCGGGTGTGCGCCGGCAGGGGCTCGAACCTCGGACCATTTGCATGGTCAGCGAGAGTCCTAACCACTGTGCCACCGACGCACAGGTATTGGCGACAGTAACTGGTGAGGGTTGATTTGAATCGCTGTAATTCCTTGTCAGCATTTGGGATTAGAAAATTTGTTTGGCTGACCGAATTCTCTGACTATGTACAAGTATGAAGTGTGTTGAGGTTGAGGATGATAAACCAGAATTTTGGACCCGTGGAACAGGGCTTCCAGCCGTAAATCAGAGGAAAAGCAGTTGAACACAAATTTTGTGGGGTCATCAGGAAATTCGCTGTGAGGTTACAGCAGATTCCCACTGTTTATTGGCAGCTGTATTGACGTATTCTGTGAGTCTGTGATATTCATCAGGGAACACTTCGTCTAAGCTTGAAGATCTTTGGTAATATTCCTTTGAGGTTCTCGAATTTGTTCTCGAAAGGAGTTATCATAGTTCATTGCACGATGTCTAAGTGAATTCGTATCAGGATATATGGGATTCCGTCACAGTGCTTTCTGAAACCACTTGGGATATGCATGATTAGTGACACAATCATAGAAAAACGTCATTTTCCCGCTGACTTGTGCTAGGTTGACAGAGTACCGCAGAGACCTATTGAGTTCCCTGCCTGTCGAAGGGTCGAGCTCTGCATGCAAAAGAAGAAGATTGTTACTATCGTGGTTACAGTCTTGTTTCTGTTTGTTCGTTTTGCAACTCCTTACAACCCCTCTACTGCTTCCGAATGCCTACGTAATATCACATTTCCCTTCATTTCTATGTACAACATGATTGCAACTCATTCATGGGATTATATACCTTACTACGTAAGTCTAACACTAATAGACAACTCCTCTTATGTATTGATTACTACTAGCAGCTATGATTATGACAACTCATCACTTTTGTTATTATCATCTTTCATGGGAAAGCTGTATATAAACGAGATTTTGCAGGTAAAGAAAATGAATTCCCCGAGATCCTCTTCGCTGAGCAATCTGAATGCTTACAAAAGTCTAGGAGGTTAATTTCTTGCTACAACGTGAACTAATTCATAGAAGATGGATAGTGTAAGATGTGGTAATCTTATCTGTTATCAAATGCGTGTAAGGCAAGAAAGAACCATGGGCACCTCAAAAAATGTGTAAATACTCAATATCTTCTTTGAATTTAATACAGCCAGAATGATTCATATATTTTTCAGGAAAGTTAACTTGAAAAGTCCAAAAAATTATCTTATAGATAATGGCATTTCAGTGATGGATTCTGTTCAGGAACCTAGTTTTTGAATACTGTATAACTTAAGATGTCATATTTTGAGAAAGGTAAATAAGAACAGCTAAGAGAACAATTAAAAAATGCACCTACAAAAATAATGTGATTATGAAAGCAGTGAACTAAATGCATAGAGAATCCTCCACAGTTCGTTTAATCGTTGGTATCGTTTAAATAGATGCAAACAATTTTTTAATGCTATTCCTTCACATAAGAAAATGTTACATGGTCTAGAAAACAATGAATTTTACGTAGGAGGGGCATACTACGCATTCACAGTATGACTCTCGAATATTTGACAAAAATAAGCCTTTATTTGAGTAGACTGTAATGACCAAATGTAAATTTCATCAAACACCATATTCATACAGTCGTTGATCTAAATCAGGGAATTCAAAAACACTTCTGCTTCTATAAAAAGCAGTAGAACCAATCACATTTATTTTGCAAACTTCTAGATGCCACATGCAATTTTACTTGAAGTAATAATTATTCTGCACTTCTTCTGGGACCAGATATTAGGCATAATTCCTAAGTAATATCAATAGTATTCATAAGGTTTAACGCTGCGACACTATTAAGTACGTGATTTACTATGAACACTTTCGGATGACGAGGAAAATCGTGATTAAAGAATAAAGTACTGCACCAGTTCCAATGATGATATATTACTTTGATCAAGTAGTCATTTTTGTTGAAAATGTATACTTTTCTTACGTTGCAATAAAGGCATTATGGTCTTTTCGGTTAAGGAGCACAAGATAAATCGATACGTAGTGTACACACTTCTCAGTTCATTAATTAACAACATAAATATGAAATAGCAGGTAGCTGGAATGACTAGCAGAAATATTAATTCTGTGGTCGTTTTGGTTGATTGAGTCAAAAATCGACCTCGATTTTTACAAAATTACTGAGAACTCGTCAACATTAAACACTTGTTTGATCCTCTAGTTCAAGATTCTTCAGCAAGCGGTGCATTCTGCACCTAAACTTACCTTGAAAACAGATATTATGAAAACAGAAAAAAAAGCAACTGAATAAGTTTGTTTAAATAAATAGGTATAGACGAATAGCTATATTTCAATTTTTAATATGCATACATGTGTATATACGCAAGTGGGTACAAAATGGAAGATAGTTGCATTCCATTGTTCATTGTCTGATATCTTTTTTCTTTTCATGTATTTCAGAATTTGTATATTAAATGAATTTACCAGTCTTTTTCAATCGGCACTTTTAATAAATCATAAAAACAGGAAGAGTGGTGGAGAAAGCGAACATAAAATGCACCAAATCAAATAGAAAGGAGAACTAAACAATGAATAATTTCTGAAGGCTTATACGGTGAAAATCAAAGTTTATCTGTCACTTTTATGAAAAATGGTACAAAGTCTTTGAAGAAGACAAAGCGACAGATCTTTTGACTGAAATACTATCTTCAAATTTGAACATTTAATCCTTAATCTTTCTGTCTCTTTTTTAAGTCGATTAAACAAAACTTGTTGGGAATTTAGAATAAATATTTTGTGGTGAAGTGAACTGTTCATCTGTTTGTGTATGAATCAGCTGCGCATAACCGAGTGGATCAACTGGACTGAATAGTATCATTGTGCCTTCTGTTGACTGGGACATCTCAGTTTGACACTCACTTTTAGTATTGTCATTATCGATAACATTAGTTGTTTTACTTATGTTGCTGAAAAGACCATCGACATCATCGTTACATGGAGAACTACTAGTAGGATCACATACAGGGTTAGCAACAGCTGAGATATGCTCTTGTCCATTATTGCAATGCATATGTGTATCCAACCATGAAACAGATAGACGACTTTTTGGTTGGTGTTGTTCCACATTGAATTTTAAACAACATTTTGTATCAACAACCTTTAAAAGATCACCTGATGACTTTGCAGAATTTAATTTATTTGGAAAATTGACTGGAATAACACCAACTTCATCGTCGTTTTCACCATTATTTATATGATTAGTACAAGGAGGTAAAGTTCCACTTCGTCTACGATAAGCTAACACTTTCAGTGTTAAGTCATCTCGTTCAGAGGGTAGCAATTCAGGACTTTTTGTAGTTTTTGCATTCTTTAGCTCTTCAACATTTAGTGAACAATAACAAGTTGGTGCTGTGAGGAATATGAAAACAAATAAGGACAATATAGATTGTAGCAAAGGCATCAGGTATTGAAATGTGGATTCATTGAGGTATGAAATGAAAAAGAAAACTATCATATATTTGTCTGTGCTATCGTATCACTGCTTAACAAACATACTTAAATCATGTAAAATATCATCATTTAGTAAATTTCTAATAAGCTCTTGATTAAAAATTATCGTAGACTAGTACATCATGTGCTAACTGGTATTTGAACTCAAGAAGACAGATTAGACTTTTCTCACTGTTGTAGTGACCATTGACCAGAATGTCAAGAATGATGCAGTATATAAGGTTGTGTGTAATTATTATCTGTTCAAAAAGGTATTTCAAAGAAGTTATTTCAAATAAATGTTCCACCTTAATCTTTAACTTGACACTTTCTCTTCAGCTCTAGCAGAAGGTCCTTCCACTATGCGTCAGTCATGAGGTGATGAGCTAATACGAAGTAGTTTTTGGCTTTATTGTTTATATTTTTTGCTTGTTCAGATTTGGCTAACAAATAAACTTTATAAATATTCCCATTATTATTATTAGAACAAGACATATAAGCGAGGAATATTGTTTTCAATTAGATCTTTTTGAGGCTTCACTCTAATTTACAAAGATTTATATCTACATAAAACACACCGTCATTGGTCAAAATTTGTATAAATAAATCTTTGTAAATTAGATTGAAGCCCGAAGAAGATCTGATTGAAAACAATATTGTTCGGCTATATATCTTGTTCTAACAAATAAACACTTCGCCTAATTTACTAGCCAGTAGTAAGCCGGGAGAAGAGTGAAGGTTGGGCATGAGGCTGTAAAAACAGCACAACCATTACTGAAACTTCAGAGCTTGAAGCCCTATGTCTCACACAGAATGGAGAAAATGGCAAAAAAGTGTAAAGAATGTCTACTAAATTCTAAAAATTCGTTATTTCACTTATTTTAACTTTTCTTTTAGTAAACAGACTAAGAAAAATTAAATGTCTACTAAACTGCTAAATATCTTTTGCCCTAAACACTTAAAGTGATGAAGATTAGTTTATTCTTTTGTGATGTAAGAAAATAGGGTATCATATACTGCAGTTTTTAATATATTTGTCCATGTAGAATTCACTTTGGATTGTATCAGAAATTCTAATGTATTTGAAAATGATTATTATCATTATTATTATTATATTATTATTGTTTCCTTTAATTCCTAGAGGAATATAGGGCTTCAGTCGTGCGTCTCCATTGCGTTCTGTTCTCTGCTAGAATCTTCACCTGGCTCCATGTCTACCCACACGTTTTCATCTCCTCTTCACATGACCTCCTCCAAGTCACCTTTGCACAGACGACAAACTCGCCGCTTCGCTTTCGGGTTCCACTCGAGCAATGGCTTGTCTAGTGATGTCACTTGATGGTTTCCTCAGAGTGTGGCCAATCCATCTCCATTTCTTCCTGCCTATTTGTTTCACAATCAGTTCCTGGTTGGTTTGCTCATTACCAGAGATCTCTGTTGCTGATCTTTTCTGGCCGGCCATCTGATCTTGAGTATTGAGCGAAGACAACTGTTAGTGAAGGTCTGCAGTTTGTTTGAGATGCTCTTTATGACGCGCCAAGTCTCTGATCCGTATAGTAGTACTGACTTCACATTGGAGTTGAAAATCCGGATCTTATTTTTGATGCTGAGTGCTGTTGACCTCCACACAGACTTGAGAGTAGTGAAAGCTTGTCTTTCTTTCCCGATTCTTGCTTTGATATCCTCATCAGTTCCGCCTGTAGCTGAGACGATGCTTCCCAGGTAGGTAAAAGAGGTTGTTTCTTTCAGGTTCCTCTCATTTATGCTGATCGTTGTCTGTTGTTGTTGTTGCTGTTGCTGTTGCCCAGGAATCTTCATCACCTCTGTTTTCTCTATGTTCACCTGAAGTCCTATCTTGGATGCCTCTTCTGCCAACTTGTTGCTTTTCACTTGCATATCTTCCACTTTGTGGGAAATCAGACATATATCATCAGATAAATTCAGATCCTCCAAGTTTTTTGTGTGGGTCCATTTTATGCCTGTTTCCTCATTGCCCGCTCTCGGTCGCATTATCCATTCCACTGCAATTAGGAAAATCATTGAAGATAGTAGGCAGCCAGCTTGTCTTACTCCTGTCCTCACTTCGAAGGGTTCCGTAAGTTTCCCGTTGTGGATTACTTGGTATGCAGCATTGTCGTATAGCTGTTGGATGAGATGTATAATTGTCGACGGCACCCCGTAGTAGCAAAGTAGTTTCCAAATCACCTCTCGATCGACGCTGTAGAAGGCCTTTTCAAAGTCGATGAAGTTGAGGTAGAGAGGTGACTGCCATTCCAAGCTTTGTTCAATGATGGTCCGTAGTGTGGCGATCTGATCAATGCATGACTTGTTTTTCCTGAATCCAGCCTGTTGTGGTCGAAGTTTTTCATCCAGGGCATGTTAGATTCTCTGTAGAATGATGCGGCTTAGTATTTTGCTTGGGATGTACAGGAGCATAATTCCACGCCAGTCCTTGCATTGACTTAGATCTCTTTTCTTTGGTAGTTTGAATAAGTAGTCTTTCTTTAAATCCGCTGGTACCTTACCCTCTTTCCACACCTTCTCCAGTAGTGGCGTCATCAAGTCCGCTGTTGTCTCTGGGTCTGTTTTCAATGCTTCTGCTGGGATTCCGTATGTTCCTGCTGCTTTTCCAGCTTTTGGCGTCTTTATGGCCTTCAGGATTTCTGCTTTCGTCGGAGTGTTGGTATCCACTGCTGTTTCTGCTTCCGCTGTTAGTATCATTGGGCGCGTTTTAGGTGTCAGTCGATTAAGAAATCTTTTAAAGTGTTCAGCCCAGAAGGAACATTGGGTCCGCAAATGTTTATTTATTCCGTACTTAGGAGTACTCATGTATAGATATTACCATCAGGCAGACATAGACTTTTGCTCCGCATCACACATTGAGATACTTCTGATGCTTAATCGAAGTATGATATAGCCGTGAAAATTCCTTAATACCTCTGAAATGAACTGAATCTATTTCTGGTGTAGTCTATTTGCAGTCATTATCTGGTTTCATGTGCGATCACAGTCTGATGTCAGTTAGAGAACCATACAAAACTATACATTACTGAATAGACGTTTCATCCTGCTTTGGGACTCTTCAGCAACACGCCCCAACTGCTTCATCACCAAGGATCGAACCCACAACCTTCAGGTTACGAGGTGAGCTGACTGACCGTTCAGCCACTGGGACAGGATTCAATAGCTAGCCAATGAATTCTAATTTCTGTGAATTCGCGACTTTTGGAACCACCAAATGGGTTTGATCTTCAGTGGCGTCATGGTTGCGTACTATTGAAGAGTCTCCGACAAGGAAGACACAGCCGTCTATTAATCCCTGTCAGTTTTCAGTGGTTCTCTAACTGATACCAACCTGTGATTTATGCCTAAATCATTAACTGTATCTAACGATGAGTCAATGTTAAGTCATCAATATGAAGAATGAAGCTCATCACTTCTCCTTTTTTGTTCTTCTTCCATACCTTATCTCATATTCACCGAAATATAAACTTTATATGGGTCGGGATCCACTTTTGCTAGAATCTATTTTCTCTGCCACTTGATAATTATTTTTTTCGCTAACAAAACTGTACTGACGTGTATTTCTGCCTACTTGAAAGATAGAGTCTTGTACTTGGATGAACGTGACCCAGAAATGCTTCCTCGTTAATGTTTCTTATATCCTTGTTCATATAAATTCATTTGTGTAATTTTTATGTATGTAAATCTAATTTGGATATACTTAAGAATTAATTCTCTAGCTTTTTAACGCTTATAAAGCAAAGTTCCAGTTAAGTCAAGTCTTACACTTTTTCGTAACAGGCAAGTTTTCAGTTCGCCCTGAAGACAATTATGTTCGTCTAAATACAAGCGAGCAAATTACTGTGAATTTTCGCTTTGCTTTATAATTTTCTGGATAAAATGACTACAGAACAACTGTCGCCATTTTTGTTGTGTGTGATTTAACAATCAGTTTTAAAAATGTAAAGTGCAGCATTGTTTAATCTCAATTCTCATGTACGTATGCCAATGAATTAACTGTATTATTTTATATTTGTTTTTTTCTTACTTATCCCAACTTCTCTTTTCATTCATTTTCTTCACATTTTACTACTTCAGTTAATAAGAAATATCATGCAACCAGTTCCCTTTATTTGTTTGAAGAGAGAAAGAATGAACATGTTTGCAGGATAATACGAGCTCGTTTTATTTCGTGGATTCTCATCAACTGCATACATCTTAAACAAAATCAAATTATAAGTTTCAAGAAAGTTGTAGAACATACTTTTTCATAATTACTTTGAGTTATAGATAGAAGGCATAAGGAACATAATTCCAGAATTTGATGTAGGTAGACAGATTATTCGGTGTCAAAAACAACTAATTATATATAGTGGAATTTGATAAGAGGGGTAAGAGTTTAGATTTCTATTGGAAAACAACACAGATTGGTTAGAGGCATATTACAGAGTCAGGGTCAGAGAACAGAGTGAATTTACACATCTTGTGGTGGAGAGTTTAAGAGGGTGGGGGTGAATAGTGAAGTAACATTTTTAACTTAAACAGACAAACAATTAAGTAGATTTAGAAACTTGAAGGTCAAAATTGAGTAGAATGTTGCGTAACAAGACAAACACACAGGCATACTGACAGAAAGGCAAAACAAAAATAAAATAAAATAGAGTTAGGGTTACCAAGGTAGTGAAAGATTAATCACACTATTTTTCTGTATACAGAGGTCTGGTCGAAATCTCTTGATAGCAATGGCTTCTGTGAAGCGAAGTAGCCGTGGCTACTTCGGCTACTTCGGCCCATTTTGTTTAAGATGTATGCAGTTGATGAGAATCCACGAAATAAAACGAGCGCGTATTATCCTGCAAATAAGAAATATATTCACTAGTTGCCTATACAAATGGATTGTCTAAAATCAGTTGTTTGTTCACAAAATACGCAGAAATTCCGTACTGGCTGGAGTTGAATAAATCTATTGACTGAACACGCCCTAGCTAAAAGTAATCAGTCGGTGGTGTTACTAGGCCAAGTCTAATTTCTTCCTTGATTTAGAAGTCTGAAGTAAACATTAGAAGAGAGTCAAGTATCACTTGATAAATGTGCCAGTTTCTTTCATGTACATAGTTGTTGTACTTATGTAAAGACAATAAAGTTATTTAGGGATCATACCAACAGTACGATGTAAAATATTTTTGTGGATAAATGAACTCTACATCCTCACGCATCAAAAGATGAATCACATCTTCCTGGTATTCGAAAGTTCTATCCAGGGTGAACTATTCAAGGTCTTGGAATAAATCTGCTTTCGTGTTGTATCCCTAGTAACTTTATATTCAAAGAATGCCACACCATATACCTGTAGTAAGCCGAGTATAATTGAGAGGATAAGTCTAATCTATCAACGCGTGTCAGCAGATATTTGACCGATATTTCTTCGTGGCACCTTTTAAAGGTAAGCCATTTCTTTGAATCGACAAGATCATGGTCAGGTGATAACTACTTCTGGAAAGGTTCATTCTGAATGTACAACAGATTTACACCTGATAGCCGCCAGTTTCGTCTCATTTAACCATCACTTCCAACTGTAATTTTAGCTAACAGACTATTTTTACTATGAAAGAATAACACTCAACTTAACAAATTGATTACTCCTTAATAAATGTGAAGCATTAAGTTTTAAAGTTGACTATCAGTCGACTTCCCAACATATTCGTTAGGGTTCTGCATCATCCAAAAAAATCACAGAAATGTCTTGGATTTGATTTGTGTGCTGAAAACACTGAAAACTTTTGATTATTTTGTGTAACAATCAGAAATATTTTCAATCACGTCATCAGTTGCAATATATGTTTCGCATTGCTGCTCTATACCGATATCTTATGTTTCGCTATGTATTAAAATAAACCCCAATTAATGGTTAAACTTGAAGCGTTTTTATACAATTTCAGACGCCACAGTTAAATTAAAATTACAGATGAGGGTAAAAAGTGGTCTAAATGTTAACTTAGAACAAACTTCAGTCGATAAGACTAAAATATCTACGGCCGCAGAAATAAAACTACTCAGGTATGAGCTTTCTGATGGAATTTCACACTAGGTAATTATATATAAGTATCTTAATCTAAGGAAGACAAAGACGTTTATTTACTTCTCACTAGCAGGTGGTCTTATGTTAACATCTTAAAAGTATCGCAGCCCCTGCCTATATTCTGTATCAAATAATAGTGTACAACAGTGTACCCTACTGATATACCACTCAACTAAGTGATAGAAATGCATAGATCCTATGGTTGAAGAACAAATGTTCATAGATTAATAATTATTTCTATGTGATTCATAAATTGGTGAAGCAGTATGATTAGAGTCTTAAAAATGTTTGCAGTCTCTGTTTCCTTCATTAACAGGACAAAAGTTGTAATATTCATCTTTGATATATTCTCATCAATGATAAATATATTCTGCTTTCAAGTGCTGGTTTGTAGAGATTTGATTGGTTACAGGATTTCATCATGAGCTGACATTAGTTAGAGGACCATTGGAAAACCTGGGAGTACTAAACAGCTGTTTCGTCCTAGTTTGGGACCCTTCAGCAATGCACACCCACCGGGGTTCGAACCTAGGACCTTCTGGTTACAAGGCGAGCTCGTAGACCGTTAAGTATGTATCTTGACAGTTCTCTTAAACAATATCCATGATCCTTCCCTCAACATAATTCCACCAGCTACCGAGTCTTAATTTGTTACTAGAAACTGTTACGGCGAATTTTAAACATTCAGTTCAGGAGAGTATCACTTCCTTTGACCGAAATACATACAGTGGCCTAATATTTTAGATATATCACTGAATCCATAGATTAATACAAGTATTCTTCTCTTAACTTTTGTATAAAGCATTCGTTGTAGAATTATATATACTTACTAAATAGCATTTTGCAGTTAAACTTACTCTGACGTAGTGTGGAACTGTTAACACGAAAAGTGTTAAGTGAACTGTGAGGCCTTGAATTTGGAAAGTGATTTTCAATCATTGCCGTGTCTGTACTACATCCATGACCACTGTCCATACTTTCCATGTCTTCTGTTATCTTTATTGAGAGTAAATGGTAGAAAACACACTAATGTTTTTAATAACAATTTTAAACTGTATCATCATAAGAGGTAGAAGAATACATCGAATAACCATTAATGGTATCATTGCAGGTGAAACAAGCAATTACTTACGTTATTATCACTACAAATAAAATGCAGTTGATCAGTGGGGAAGTATTTTCACAGCTTTCCCTTCCATTCGGAAATTACCTATTTTATCACAAATAAGACCATTAATCAGCAGTTAAACCATTCTTTAATATGGTTTCTTTGACTAATAGATCATTAGTGTTAAAAGGCCATTAATTTAGTTAAAGCACTAATTATCCGGCAAGTTTGGTGAATTCGCTCAAAATTTAATTTGAAATGCTGTAATACTTGCGAAACGTATATGTATGCTTCATAATTGTAATATAATTGCATTTCTTTCTCTTCTTTTGTCGATACAGACTAGGCGAATACAAGAGATCAATTCTTGAACGATGTAAACGAACTGGACATAAATAATTAAATATTAGGCTGGTTCTTTTAATCAGCCTCCCTACTGTATATGCACTGAAGACGCATTGAATAAGGAATTGGAATACTGCAGAAAAACTAATCAAAAATGGATTTCAACCTCCACCGATAAACATTCAAAGAGGAAGACTGATACTCATCGAAACCTGGATGTGCCGAAGAAACAACTAATTATAAATCCAAAATTCAAGGGAGATACAACTGGTGAGGTCCTCCGAAGCCACCTGTCGAGAACGTTCTTTGCCACATATCTACTTCTCACCTTCTCTATACGTACTCTTATTCACCAAAACTTCAGAGACAAGATCCTGCTTTTGGAAACTTCAATGTGTATTTACCAATTCACCCGCTCCTGTGGAGTTAAGTACATTGGCCGTACCAGCAAGACATTTTCCAGACGTGCCTATGAGCACTTACCAGCATGGTTGTCAACAGGTCAACAGTCAACAGCTCAATTCTAAAGCATATGATTGCTTTTGGTCATGCAGCATCAGCAAAGACTTCTTTCAAAGTCATATATAAAGTAAGACTGAGTCGTTCGAAAGCATGGCCTTAGTACTATTTTTTATTCCTTCTTTGTCTTTCTGAATGATTCCATAATAAGCTGTAAGTTGTTCGCTTTATGTTTTTTTCAACTCATTTTCAACCTTTTGTTCTCTTGTCTCTTATCAACCATTTCCAAATGATTACTCATCACTCAAATAGTTAGTTGGCAACCCTTTTGATTGCGCAAGAATATTCCTAATTTTTCAAACATAGTTAATACTCATGCACTTTGATATACTTTGTTGCTTACTGATAATAACTTTTGACCTCTATTTTCAGTCCTTATTTCACATATAAATATACCAAATAACTGCATAGCTTTGAAGTAAAGTAACGAAAAGAGATCTCTTCACTGACTCATTTTCTTAATTGAATGAAATGGGAATTTTTCAGGCTTTTACCTGTCTGCCTCAGCTGAGTCAAACATGGTACACTGCTACTGAGGTTAGTCCTAAAAGGAGAGAAATGGTTACTCGGTATTTAGGTCACTTCTGTCTGGCTAGCGAAAAATGGTGGTTGATGTGAGTAGTATCCAACTACTCATATCGATCAAGAAGTAGTTCATGGCATCACTCAAACTATTAAGTTTTTCTCAGGATGTTTATGTGTAGCTCCTGCATATAGTATAAATTGCACTAATATTGAATTCATAGCAGCTACACAATTCATTATAATGGTACTTCTTGTCATTTACTATACAATATCAGAGCACTCTTCAATTATTTCCCAGATAGCTTCAAAAGGTTCAGTAAAGAGTACATTAAATAAGGGATTTTAATGTAGAGTTATTTAATTTGTGTCCAGCGAATCAGTAACCGCTTGTCGCGAAAAAAGTAGTTCTTATGGCTCCGTAACCTACTAGACAGCCCTTTAGTTTTTGTAAGATGGATGATAGGTTCAGATCATTGATTTAAATACAGACACATACACTCGACAAGTCCCAAATGGAGAGAAGTGCCTATCTTAGCTGAGTTCAAAGTGCCAAAATCCTCAATAACAAAACATCTTGTGAATTACGGACATGATATCGACGCAGTCAGGTCATTCACCATTGTCAGCAGACAAAGAAACAAGAAGATGCTTGCAATTGCAGAGGCTTGTGCAATTCGAGTTTACAAACCAGGTCTCTGTGTACAAAAGGAGATGGTCGTGACTCTGAATCTACCATGGTAATACGTTTTACTTATAATTCTACCTCTTATTATTATTTTATTATTACTATTATTATTCTCATTATTATTATTCTTGATTCATTTAAAACTATCCTTTATCAGTAGCATTATCTTAACCCACTTCAACACTATTATTATTATTATTATTGTTATATTATATTATTGTTATTATAACTATTACTATTGACATCCCTCTGGTTGCAATTCTTGTTAAATTCTCTAATGTCTAATTGTTTATCTAAGTGATGTAATTGAAGCGTAATGCAATTTATCTTAATTTTGATCTCCCATACTCTCTCTCCCCTTATCTAACTGCACATGACCTGGAAAAACATTCGCACCTGTCTTTCTGCATGACTAATTCAATGTAGTTTATTTACTTATCAGTCCTATATCTCCCAATGTAACTTCAAAAGTATATATCCGTGTATGTAAAGTATTCAGTCCTGTATCTCCCAATGTAACTTCAAAAGTATATATCCGTGTATGTAGAGTATTCAGCTGACGAGTTCTACCGAAATTTGATGAATTCATTAAATCCTGCCTTATTAACCTTTATTGCTTGTTTTAAATTCGTATCGGGAAATAAATGTTTCCTATCTTAGACGCCAGTATAATTATTATTATGTTATTCTTTCCATGGGTTGGGAGTAAAACATAGGGCTTCAGTAGCACATTTCTATCATACTCTGTTCTCTGTTGTCTTTTAGACGTATGATTTCATTTGAAGGTTTTGTCACCATGTATCTAATCACTCTTCATTTCCCTCTCCGTATTTGTAGAATAGTGTGCTGCTGGTTAGTTTGCTGCCTGACAAAGTTCCATGCTGCTGATCCTTTCTGGTCATTTGATCTTCAACATCGAATAGAGGCGGCTATTGATGAAAGTCTTTGAACCATACTGAAGTTTCAAGTTGACATTAGTGTTCAGAATTCCGATGCTTTTCATTGTTTTTAGTTCTGCAGATCTTTACACCGTGAACGCTTGTCTTACTTTCCTAGTTTGATCCTGTTCGGTTGTAGTTGAAACGATATTGCCCAGTTCACATAAGTGAAAGGAAGGACTTCCTTTAGAATTCTCCCATTGTTGGGTGATTGGTGATTGTTATTGGTAAGTCGGGTATCTTCATCACCTCTGTCTTCTCTGCTTTCACTTTAAGCTCTGTCTTTTCCACCTCTATTTTCAAAATGTTGGTTTCCGTTTGTAAACCATTGGGTTTGTGTGGCATTGGTGATATCCAGATCTCCTAGGGTATTTTTGTAAGTTCAACACATTTCCATCTGCTCACCCTTCACTGTCTGCTTCATGATCAAGTCGGACTCTGGTGTTACTAATTACTCAGTTACTAACACTGGACTAATCGACGATTAACGAATTGCTCAAAGAGGTATTTTGTGGTTTACAATTAGACATTAGGATGGTGAATATTATTTTGAAATAATGTATAAGTTCTACTACATTACTGTCTGCTCAAGTTTATCAGTTTTGTAAGTAGGTGTGCAAGTTAGTGTTAAATTCACTACTTTATGAAGTAGATAGCAATAGGCTTTTCATAACTAGGAATCTTATCAATACAAGTCATTCACAATTGTTATTATTCATCCCGGTCCTAACCGCTACGACATCATTCATATGCCTTCAATCAGTTCGCACTTTTATTTTCACTTTTAGTGATGCAAAGGGAAGAAACTTTGCAAACTGTGACGGTTAAAGTTCCAAAATAATTGTAAGATCTAACTTGAACACAAACCATAATTGTGAAAAACTTCGTTTTCAGAAGTCATATAATTTAACTCAACTGACTGATGTCAATTTATTCAAGAAAATATTGTTAAATGAATGCGTAGCGAACTAAATAAACACTTTAACAGGAAATTGGTCTCATAAAAACACTGTTTGAATTTAGTTGTTTTCAATAAATTATTAACACCAGGTTGATGAAAAAATAAACAAAGTGTTACTACTTTCATTTGGAAGTTGGAATATGCCTGTAGCATAGACACAGTCGAAAAGTTATCATTTTAGTTTGAATCGATTTAATAATTTTAAGTCTGAGCAATGGGAGAAGTCCTACATTTCACTACACCTCAGTCATCGATAGCTTATACAGAACATCAGATTTATAGGAAGAGTTGAAGGAAATTAGCTTACATCGACATCATAATTCACTTGTAAAATATCAATCATAGTAAACAGCAAAAAATTTCAAAAGTCATTGAAACAATTAGTTATTTTCAGGAAAAACAGACAGATATTATCTCCATTTTTACATCGAAGAAAGTGTTAATCAAAAGAAGCGTAAATTTCACTTTTGAAAGTTAATAATATTGAAATCAACCTTTTTATTGATTTGTTTCAAAACTTCATCATGAAATAAAATAGAACGGTAGCAATAAGTATACAAAAGACACTGTCAAAATTAGAAGTTTGTTGAGCGATTCTCCAGTCGGTTATAGATGGAGTTATTGTTATTGAACATTCATTCAATGAATCTATTTATTTTATTAAGTGCGATGTGGTAATCAGAAGGTTTGATGTTGTCAGTACAATCCGCCTTTCAATGGATCTCTAAATGATGTCAGTTAGAAATAAAACGTGAAGCCAATCTAGTACCTGCGCGTAAACACTTGTCAGTCTGCTAAAGAGTAACGTCATTTTGCTTATTGGTGATTAGTACTTTCATATATATCTTGAAGGTAAACTATGCGAAGGTGGGAGATAACATATTCACTATTATTATTTGTCTTAAAAGTTTTACG